ATTTAATTATTTCCTCACCACAGAGGCTTAAGAGTCTGACTGGGACTGCAACATTCAGCTACATCATGAAGCCCACAGATACAGGTGCTCTGGTTTCTGAGGCCATAGTTGAAGAGGTCCATCAGTTCTCACCCTTAAATACAGTAACTGGAGCAGCTCAAATGAAAGCCAAGTATGATCTATACTCATATTTATGTCACAACATTTACAGAATATATTTCTGAATTTCTTTTTTATTTCATTTCAATAATATTGAGATTTTTCATTTCAGGCAAATGCTGACTTTACTGGAAGTGCAGAATGCCCCTATTGCTCCCCATGCAGGTGAATACTTGGCCCGTGGATCCCTGAAGTATGAATTTGCTACTGAGATTCTTCAAACCCCAATTCAACTTATGAAGATCAATAATGCACAGGCCCAAGTATCCTTATTAGTTTATTTTAATACATTCGTTCAATTTCCTGTATTAATTTCTAAAATTAATTTGAAAAAATCTTATCATACCTTAACATATTTGACATTGTTTTCACTGTCAAGTGTTCAAGCCCTTTTTTTCGTTCTCTTACAGATTGTAGAGGTCTTGCAGCATTTGGCTGCAAATAATGTGGATATGGTTCATGAGGACGCTCCTCTGAAGTTTGTCCAGCTTGTCCAGCTCATGCGTGCAGCTACCATGGAGAGTATTGAAGCCGTCTGGGCTCAGTACAAGAACAAGCCTCTTCACAGGTGAAGTTATATTGAATATTACCTTGGAATTAAAGCCCAGGTTATGTGCTTTTCTAAAGCTCTTATTGTGGCAGACGGTGGATTTTGGATGCACTTCCTGTTGTGGGTACACCAGCAGCTCTGAGATTCATCAAGGAGAAGTTTCAAGCTGATGAGCTTGCTGTCCCTGAATACACTCAGGCCCTTCTGGTTGCTTTGCACATGGTCACCGCTGATCCAGATGCCATCCAACTCACTGCTGTGAGTGAAAATCTTTCATGTAAAGTATTTCAAGTCCAGCAGAACCTTGTATAAATATTATAAAACATTTAACATTCTCCTACATCAAACAGAATCTGGCTTCGAACCCCAAAGTCAAGGCTATTCCAGTTCTGCGTGAGGTGATCATGCTTGGCTATGGTTCCATGATTGCAAAACACTGTGCTGAAGTTCCTACATGTTCTGCTGATCACCTGAGGGTAAAGTTTCTGTTCATTCATTCACATATGAGTAAACAATTTCGGTGATATTATATTATAGTACTCATCTAAAAGAACTTATATAGAGAATACTTTTAGTTGTAATGTTTCCTCCCTCTCTCATTTATCATAAAAATATTTTCCTGGGTTTCAGATAAAAGATAAGATCAAATAAGAGTAGAGTTATGGGAGAATTGCTCATATGATCAGTGTAAACAATGAGTGAACACTATATTTTTGCATCTGAACTTCCATTATTAGCCTATCCATGAGACTGCTGCTGCGGC